TATTTTTTTTAACTAGGCAGCATTTTTATAGCTGGGCAATAAATAGAACATATGACATTTCCACAAAAATGATATGTTTCAGGTTTAACCAATAAAAATTACAAAAAAAAAGGAGTAAGTTTGAAATATAAAACAATCAAAAAACAAACTTAAAAAATTATTTGTTTTTCTCTAGTGAAAATATCATGAGCGTTACAACAGAAAAGCAAGGCACTTTCATTGATAACTAGGTCTACAAAGAAATACTTGAGTAAAATATACTCTGTGATGTTATGCTGTGATGATAGCTCATTTTTAAACTAAAATTTCAGTAAAATCCTTTTTCTCATGGATGGTGAACATTATTGAATCTCAAGTATGAATACATTGTTATAGAACTGTGAGGCAATTCCAGAAAAGGCCGCAGGCCCTATAGCGTTCCGCAGGAACTAGCAGTTATACCTGTCCGGAGAGCGGGTATTTCTGCTAGTAATGATAATATAGAGAGTCAACAGTAGAAAAGAAACAAACTTACTATAGAACTTTATAATGATATACAGTCAACGATAAGAAATAAACAACACTACTATGTTTGTCATATCCCAGCCGGCCTGAAGAGCGCTGGTATAGAACGAAAGCCCTCGTCGGCATTGGATATAGCAGATATAGTGTAGTTGGAATGTTATTATTCATTCTTCTTTACTTTCTCGTATAATTTCTTATTGATGGTAAGCTAATTATATCTTTATAATATCGTATATATAATCAACGATAGAAGAAATGTAAGCTCACATAAAATTTAGAAGAAAAAAAAAGTCCAAAATAAAAACAGAAATACATAAATATTCAAAATTTAGGTCTCTGATACAATTATTAAACTGAAAAATATCAAAATCATCAAAGGATGTTTTTTTTTCGTAAAGGACATATACATCGATAGCTTACTTAGTTTCTCTGAGGATAACAGTTTTAATTAATGGTGTAAAAGAACCTTCAGCAAAGAATTATAAACATTTCATGCACGCTTATGTGCTTAGCGATGAGTAACTAAAACTACGATCATTAATATCTCAATACTCTGAGAAAAACAAACCGACAGTCACGTGCTGTTTGGAAAATACGTTTATAACATTTTCTCACTCCTCCACAGCGTTTGAAATTCACTTCTCTTTCATAACATGTGTTGTCAGTGTATACATTACACTTGTAACTTTTTTTTTTTTTAAATAAGGTTATACTATAAAGGTCTGTGAGTATTAAATGTCATTTACCACGCATGGAACTAAAATCAAAGCGGAAATCAAACCAGTCAGAGTTTCAACGGGTTTGTATGATCTACCAAGGACAGATTCTTCACGGTTTTCTTGTCAGCTGAGTTGTAAAAATGAAGTTATAATTAGGATGTGATGAAATCGTTATCTTGAGTAACTAACCCCCCGTCCCCTTTCTGGTAAGTAGAGCCAGCAGTTATCACTTTGGTCTAAAGAACCAAGAAGCGTGGACTCAAGACTTTTCACTTAGAAAGAGGAACCACAGATGATAGAAAACCTTGCCGAACTAACTGTACGTTCAGTTAGAAGGTTAACTATAAAAATATCAAATGCAAAAAAAAAAAAGGCGCAAAGCATATCAAACATTTAAATATTCTGATGTGGGAGACTTATTTGCATTTTTGCTGAATGACAAATTATAGCATTAAAATGTCTGTTCACTGTGTCATTTATATATTTTCATTTAAAGAAGACTATCTTGGCATGCAAGTAAATCTCGACATGACCGAAAACCAAGTACCATAAGTCAACATCAAGGCTTCTCAGTACATGTCGAACCCAATGTTGTGTTGAGTTCCTGATTTGTAATGGCTTCTATATGCCACAATTATTTATTGCACTTATATAAGTGAGATAATCTAATTTTTGAGAAAAGATAACTCTCTCGCGTCTTTCCGAATAACTACGTTGTCTTTTGCAAATTTATATATATGTATATAAACAAAACGTACAGCTACTTTATTTGTTTCAATCTACGAACCTCGCGAATAAAAAAATAAATTAAATCTGTATTACCTACTACAGCCTAATATCAACGTATAGTAGCTTCATAAATTACATTGTAACAGTTAATGTGAAAATAAGTATTATTATATATTTTAAAGTGAAGTTAATCGCTAAAGAACAACGTATATTGTAAGGTGTCTTCAGTAAATTAATAATTTCGGTTTTCATCAACCACTGTTTAGTTTGACACGTGTTTAAGCGCTTGAATACAAGCTATGTAGTTCACTTAAGCTGAAAATAACGTTTTATAAGCATCTACAGGTGGAATATTTTTCAGTCTCAATCAGCGTAAATTGCAATCGCTACAGTGGCATATTTTTCATAGTCTCAACCAATGTAATCTGCAATCGCTAAAGTGGCACATTTTCCATAGTCTCAACCAGTGTAATCTGAAATCACTAGAGGGGCATATTTTTCATAGTCTCAACCAGTGTAATCTGAAATCACTAGAGTGGCACATTTTTCATATTATTAAGCAGTGTGATATGCAATCGCTAAAAATCCTGCAGACTAAAATAGACTAAGTAATTAGACTTCTAACTGAAAATTCTGTTTAGTTGCTTGTTGGATAAATGCTAGCAACGTACTTTTATTCTGTATATGTTGAAAAGAAGTTTTAGTAAAATTACTTGGACTTTTATACTGATATTTTTTTTCGAGAACACACTTCAACGATTTCTAAAGCTATATTAAAAAGAAAAGTTTGCCGAGAAATATCGTGTGTTAACAAATGTTATACTGACAGTTAAACGCATTTTCCAAACAACATGTGACTGTTGGTTTCTATCAAGTAGTGTCCATGTAGAAATTCCACAAAAGTTTGCTAGATAATAATTATTTAATATTTTCTCATTCCTTCACACCACGGTTTCTTTCACTAAAAATGTTGAAGAAAATACTACACAACTGATATTATATGTCCAATATCAATTTGTGAGTAGGAATCACAAGCTTGGATAGATTTCAATAAAAACAATGAAAAATAAATGGCCGGGCGAGGCCTAGTTTTTAGCCTGCCCGTACTGTGAATCCGAAGGTTCGTGGTTCGCATTCCGTTACCTTTGAGGCCATAGATCCGTTTTTAAGATCCCAGTTAACATATGACATTACCGAAAACCAAAGACCATAACTCAGAATCAAGGCGTCTCAGTACACGTCAATCCCAATGTTGTGTTGGGTTCCTGATTTGTAATGGTAGAAACGCCAAGTTTTAACTGGAAATAACGCTCAAAACCCATTATTTGGTCAGAGTATAGTAGCCAAAGAGTTTACTAATTTGTCAACTCCAAATTAAGGACAACTATTTGAAGATAACCCTTGTGAAACTAAAATGAGTGAAAATTACCCAGTAATTCCAAGTGGTGGAAATATTAAGCGCATTAGGATCGAATGAGTAAAAAACACACCAAACTTTCTGATAATTAAACTCAACGTGAGAGAATGTCGGTAAAAAGCATTGAATCTTAGTTAGCTTGTATATCTATTTTGACTGAATATTAATTGTGTAATTTGATGAGAGAAAATGGCTTTAATGTGTTATAAATATATTGCTGTATTTAGAAATATACAAGGCTCTACATTCTCATTTTTGTATAGTGAATGTTAAACCTGATAAACCCTTCATTTTTTAAAATCATAACTGACAAACTTTTACTCAGTTAAATTAAAGACTACAAACTATCTTAAGTTTAATTTTATTAAATATTGTGTGTTTCTGACTTGTGATAACTTTATAGGCATAATTTAAACAATTCCTGACCTAGTTCCATTAGGAAATGTAATGAAAGTGTTTCTTTGTAAATCATCCTGTAAAAAAATGCACAAGCAATAGAAATAACGTGACCTTATAAACTACTTCTCAGGCCTAACTCTATAACAGGGATTCCCAACCTTTTTGTTCCTCTGTATCCCTTGGTCATTCTCTCCCAAAGCACTAATGGAGGGAGGAGAGCTTGCCCAGTTGGCTGATCCCTAGTTTATCAGCTGATTTGTAACGAGGGTGTTCTATATTAATTATGTTCTACATTACTTATTGAAAACATGAGTTATAATGTAGCACAGCAATAACATCACAACGTTCATCATGATCACAACTTTTTGTCTAAAGAGCGTATATTTATGTGAGCCACTTTACTCTCTTTGTCTGACTGTAGATTAAAACACCATGTAAAGTGTAAACCATGGTTATACTCTCAAACCCCTATGTACCCCCTGAGAAGTGCAAATGTACCCCAGGTTGGGAATGTCTGCTCTACAAGTACACATGGATCTGTAACCAAATGTCACTTCAAAACACCTCAGATTAATTGGTGTCAACTCTTATAAAATTTCGTTCCACTGCAATACCATAGTAATTTCCTAAAGTGAAAAACTAGTAAAAAATAAAATGCTTACCTTTAATTATCAATAAATCCACAAAGAAGAATTGTTCACTTCTTTTTAAAATAAATCTTTTCTATTCGGATTATCAAAACAGCAGCTCAGTGGAAATGGAACCGATTCTAATTGATTTGATTTCTTTTCTGTAAATGAAACAACAGGAAAGAATAAATAGAAAAATAAAGATAAATTATGTTTAGGAAAGTCATTAGAAATACTAAATACATCCGTTTATAAAAACTATGCCCAAATTATTATTTTTTTCCCTAAGAGAGTTTGTGTTTGTAATTTTAAAATTAACACTGCTAATTGAACAATCAGTCAATATTCGATTATGCAATTCAAATCTCTAAAGTGATTTGCGCAACTTTATAAAAAAAAATGTTCAAATCCAAATGTACTAAATGTGGCTCTAAAAAACAACATATTTTAGCAATTTTATTAATAATAGTTAATTCCTGCTAATAATTTTATGAAAAGGAGTTGTTTTGAATTTCGCGCAAAGCTACAAGAGGGCTATCTGCGCTAGCCGTCCCTAACTTAGCAGTGTAAGACTAGAGGGAAGGCAAGTAGTCATCACCACCAAATCTTTTATCAACAAATAGTGCGATTGGCCGTAATATTATAACGTCTCCACGGCTGAAAGGGGTGAACATGTTTGGTGTGATGGGGATTCGAACCCGCAGATTGCGATTTAAGCGCCCTAATTACCTGACCATGCCAGGCCATTTATGAAAAAGGAAACGTTGATTATGATTGTAAGCCTGGAAATGGAGTTTTATTGTTGTTGTTTTAAAGTGTTATGCATGTGTAAAGTAATTCAATATCATCTAAATTTTATAACTTTTGACGATAACATGATTTTATACATATTTATGTAACATTTACAAAATATAATTATGTTGTTTTTATGTTATTTGTAGCCTGAAATATTTCGATAACTACTTTGAAATCGCCGTTTAAAAGTAATTAACTATTCTAAATTCATCAAGGCTCGGCGTTCAATTCAAAAATTGGAATTTACCGAGGCCGGTTTATACGCCCATGTCGGCGGCACTTGCACGTGCGTACTTGGTCATGCTTCTTCCACCCTTGCCACCTCTAGCCAAAGGCTCTTTTTGAGGCGTCAGGTGGGCATGGTTAACAGAGAGGTATTCGAAGTATCATCCTTGGTACGTTAAGGAATGATAACGTAAAACCACCAGCTTCCCAGAACTCTCAAGTATGGGTGAGGCCAGTAAAGTGATTAAAACAGATATTTTATGTCAGAAAACCAATGCCCTTTTCTCTACTGTGACACGAGGAATTAACTTGACCACAAACTGTTTTTGTTTTCAGGCACAGAGCCTCAAATATTAACAAATGTTCTAGCATAAATAATCCCAGTCATTAGTTAAGTTTGCTCAGAAAGTGTTAGAGCACGTGAAGACACCTGCCGGCTGAACAGATAATAAATACTTTGTCACTTTTTATAATTCATTCAACAAATAATTCAGTACACCTTTCGTACGTCATCCCAGCAAATACCTTGTTCTTTATGTACTTTTAAGATCTTAGATTACGTAAACACAACTGTGCCGAAATCGTTACAAGACAGCTTATAGTAACTCTTTCTCTTTTTATGCAGTCGATGATAACTGGTAGTCTGTAACCCAATCACCAAAACAACTGTTTAATGTGATAGACTGGTTTGAAGATTATTGGCCTGAACATGAAATTTTTACTGAATATTTGCTTATAAACCAGTTTTAAGAACATACCTCCAGTACATTAGTTTCCTTGGTTCACTCATGTTATTTTACTATCAAGCATACTATTGTCGTTTAAGCGCAAAGCTACACAATATACGCTCTGTCTATCGTCGTGAATCGAACCCCGGTTTTTAGCGCAATAAGTCTGTAAGCTTATCGTTGATCCACCCCGGGTGGTGGAGGCATCATGCATGCTTTACAACGGCGAAACAGTTGAAGGATAACAATAATATTTTATGTATGGTAAAAAGGAATTACTGGGGTTTGTTTCTAAGCAATGTTTACTCAAATAATCTTTGCTGTGAAACTCCATATAAATAAGCTTGGTAGCATTTTCCCTGTTTAAAGCTTGAATTAATTGCAAAAATTTAAGAGCTGTGTAAAAGTGTATTTCAAGCATCAAACATTAACACAAATAAGGAACAACAACAGAATATTTCCAAATCCCATTAATCTTCAATATATCATCAGGAAATAAACCACGTATTTGGATATAAACTTTCTGAATAGTCTTTATGCCTAATTCTCACTGGCGCCACATTTTTTACAGGAAAACCATGGAGGTCGGAAATTGTTTGATTGTCAAGGTACGATATAAGCTTCAACTCAAGATGTTGCTATGGCTCAATGGTTTTTTTCTACAACTCAATCTAACATGGACCTTAAAAAAATTCAAACGTTGAGGACTTTCAAGAAACCGATCATCAAGCTCCCCTTCCCCACTTTTATCTCCATTCTTATTGAATGAACCCTGTCTATAACTATAAGGAACGATACATTTTTTATTCCTCTGTCACAAAAGAGAAAATGGAATGGAAATATATTGTACTGCTTGAAGTATTATCACTGTGGAATTGAAATATTGATTTGCATAAGTCATGTACATTTCTGGCAAGAAGCGCGAGTAGAAAAGAATTATATACTTGTTTATATAGCTTATTCCTTTGTTGACTACTTAACAGAAGTCAATAAGATAAAATATTAATTTTGCTTAAAGGTCAACAATATCCTAAATGATCAGACAACGTTTAATAATTTGAAAGGAATTAGCATATGATTTGGGATTAATTCCTTTTTAAAAGACAGAACACAGGATGGGTCAGCTTTATAGAGCTGTACATTTCGGAGCTTGCGAAATGGGTTCGAATCCCTGCGATACCACAAAATATTCCCCGTAGTTTAAGCTAAGAATGCGTCATTTGTATGACAGTCGATGCTTTAGTATGGGTAGTAGAGTGACACTGACTGCTTGTCATCCTCTTGATCAGCAGTTCCAAATTAAGTACGGCAACAGTTAGCCTTAATAGCTTTGCCATAAAATATAAGGAAAAACGAATGCAAATAAAGCTAAAACACGAACTTTTCAAAGTAAAGTGACAACACTCAATACAGAAAAATTCGGCTTAAGGACGCAGTTTTATAAATACCTTGAAGTTATTTTATGGTTTCCCTACCTTTAACCACAATACATGTTTTAAACACGGGAGTTGTGTAATCTTCTTCTGTACGAGAAGTGTGTACTATCAAAAACAGAACTGTTGCCAAAGATTTGAATGACTAAATAGTCACGATAAGATGTTATGTTCAATTAGCTTATATTTCAGGTAAGTATCTTACAAATCTAATTTTCGACAGTTAATGTTATTGTCGACCTTAACTGTGTTTTCTTGATAAAGCTATTTCTATTGTTCTCTAAGACTCAATTTTGAGTTTTTATAAATATGAGCCGAGTGTGTTTCGAACTGAACTTCTTATTTTTTAAATTAGATACATGTTTCCTGGTAAAGAGATGAATTTCGCGCAAAGCTACTGCGCCTTGAACTGATAGACTACAGGGAAGGAAGCTAGTCAACACCACCCACCGCCTACTCTTGAGCCACTTTTTACCAACGAATAGTTAAATTGACCATCACGTTAAAACTCTCCCACGACTGAAAGGGCGAGCATGTTGGATGACAGGATTCGATCCCGCAACCTACAGATTACGAGTAAAGTATTATTATTACCAGATTGTGCTGTCTAGTGATGGTTACAGAGTTTTACATGATTCTTAAAAGCGTTTTTTGCTAGAGGAATATAGAATGTTTCTCACTCTCGCTCTTCATGTATAGCTGTTGGCTTGCTGATGTAACTGCTTAACATGATGTTATTCTCTCTCATCCAATATATCTGTTGAAGCATCGACATAATATCTGTGGTAATCATGCTCTTGGGTCTTTAATTTAACGGGATTCTCTGTTTCACCAAATTAACTTCATTTTTCCTCCTGTGTCTCAGCAGTAAGTCCGAAAGCTTATAACACTAGATTTCGCAACACAAATAACTCATTGTGTAGTTTTTCACCAAAACAAAATTAAACAATTGCTTCCCTTACGTAGAATGAAGTAAAATAAATCATTTTTGTTATTATTTAAATAGATCTTAAAGGGATTTGGTACCATTAAGGTTACCACTTCCATGCTGCTGATTGCTTACAGCAAAACTACACAATGGGCTATCTGCACTCTGTCCACCACTGGAATCGAACCCCGTATTTTAGAATTGTAAATCTGTAAACTTACCGCTGACCCACGGAGGGACTCTACTTCCATGAACCACTAGAAAGAAATTGGAGCCTCCTGAAATACCAGAACGGGGTTACTTCCTCTATTAACCATCAATGGATCACAGCCTCTCTGAAGCACCATAATACGGTTACAGCCTCTCTGAACCTCACGAGGAAGATAACTACTTTTAACTAGGTATTTCTGAAAATTTCTCCGATGATATGAAATTTGTAAAATTAAAAACTATTTGTAAATTATGATGGAATATTATGATGTAAGTTTATGTTGGTAGCTTTTATTCTGAGCAGTGGTGAAGAGTTGTTCTAAAAATAAAATAAAAAATGCTTATGGATAAATAAAATCTATTAAAAGAAATAAAGTGTCGGGCATCAGTGAATGTTTTATATTGTGAAACATTGTTTGAAGATAAGCATTTTATATACGCTGTGGTTAAATGCTCACCTCGCTTCTATTTTGCACGTGCATATGAAGCAAAAGATGAGGCAGCTAATTAAAATTTAATACGATAATAATTAAGTTGACTGGTTTAGGAGACCTTCTCTGTACTTAAGATATTGGTGGTTATCGCTTTGAAACATAGCAATTATTTTACACATCTAATGCACATTACAATAAAAATTATCGATATAGAACCACTACATAGTTAGAGTTCTAAAACAAAGGAATAATCCTACCAAAGCTGCCTTAATTATTGCATATTTTATCAGTTGCTGTTGGCATCACGTCATGCTACTTGTACTACAGAGAGCATTTGGTTTTAGTTATCAAAAAAAAAATCATGTCTTAGTAATCAAAGAACAGAAAAACGACTGTATGATTTTGTCAGAAAGATTTTTTCTTCGACGTTTTTTTTTTGTACTCCACCTTGAGTAGTACAATGATAAATGAAGACGTTCCTGTTTTTTCATTAGAAATAGAATTGTTCTCTGTAACTAATCTTCATAGTACTAATGAACTTTAACAACATTCTACCTTTACTGGTTTGTTTAAATAATTAATTATTTCTAGTTATGCTTCATAACGTTGCATCTTTTCGGTTGCCTGTGCTTCTGGTGGTCTATAATTATTCTTCTCAGATAATCTTTTTTGACATTTACTACGATGTTTACAGATAATCATTGCACTTCCATTTCCCTACCGGTTTGTTCGCAGTATTCTGCCTTCTCTGTTTTTGTATGGACAACATGCAACTTTATTTATTGTTGTTGTTTTTTAATTCGTCTGGCCTTATATTCGTTAACAGATCTCTACATATGAAAAAATGTGTTTTTTTTGTTATCTAGTAACACACATATGTAAATAATTGGAGAAAAACGGTTAGCTATACAAAAGTTAGTTCCTAATATAATTGTACTTTGATTTATTACACAAGAGAAAACATGTTTTCATTAACTTTTACAGTCCAACAATCAAAACATATGTTTAACTAATAATATTTTTTGTTTTAATTCATTGAATTAAATTATGCAAATAAGCATGATTAACATAAACATTTGGCTCTAAAATCTTTCGTAAGACTAGCATAATTAATGTTATGAAAATTTATTTATAAGCAGTTTCTAACCAGACTTAATAGGGTCATGCCAACTGTAAGATATAGGGGAAAATTTCAACAAAGCCAGATACGTTATAACTGTCTATTCTTCACTGAAATATGACAAATGCAAACCAAAATAATTATCCCACTTCAAGTCAGGCATGTAAAAGTAAAAGATACTTATAGTGGCCAAAATACCGAAATGTGTTCTTATTTCCAGAATGCAAATCCGTTCAATCAAAGGAATCAAAATGAATAGGACTAAATTAAAAGCTTGTTCATGGGCAATTTTTATTAATAATATAAAGTGGAATGGTATGCATTTTCCAAACCTGACACCCCCCCCCCCCCAGTGGCACAGCGGAATGTCTGCGGACTTACAACCTTAGAATACGGGATTCGATACTCGTGGTGGGCAGAGCACAAACAAACCTTCTCCAGTTATCTCTCACAAGGATACCAATATTGTCATGTTATCCAGATTTTCAAACACTGGACAGAAGGTAATTCACTCGTGTAACGGAAATCGTAACTTAACAAAACAAAATACGATGAAACTAATGTAAACCATATTTTAATACATATTAATTTTAATAATAAGTACAACTTTTCGTTCTACATATTTAGATCATCATCCCTTTCTTCCTTAGGTTCATAATAAACAGCATCCTTGAATTAAATCTAAATGTCAAATAGAACCTAACAACACCCTGCCATTTTTCGACGTACTATTAACCACGACTTCACTGTTTTCTCTACTCCTGTGTACCGTAAAAACAAAAAATCATTCACTGACCTCCTCACCCCACTTAAATGTTTTATCCCATTCTCTTACAAACGTAATATACCTGATTAACAGAGTCTACAACCCATGTTTTATTTTTCTTTTGATTCCATTCCCAAAAGTTTTTTACCCAGAATATTCTTAAATGTAATGGCTGCCTTCAACAAATTTAGAAAAATTCACTCGGAAATTCCTAACTAATAAGTTTGTTAATAATACCAAAACACCCATTAATTTTAAATATCTATCTGCTTCTGTACGCGATATCTTGGTAAATACAGCCTTATTACCATGAGCACATTCATGTGTGTCATAAGAAGAAAATTCTTTCAAATTGATATGAAAATGATCTTCAAAACCTTTTCCCTATTGAAAGCCCTTTTTCTCTAACAACTTACCAATTCCTCATTTTTCATGGCTCGTATATCTATCTGCACACTTGTAAGGCCTCCTACGTTTGCAAAAACCAAACACCATCTCAAAGTAATAGCTTATGAGCACGATGGCCAGTAAAAACTGGTACAGTACAAGACATTCGTTGTTCCTCCATAATACGCTAACATAGCAAAACTATAGGACATGCAATCTCTCTGTCAAACTAAACAATCTTAACGACTGCTAAGTCACAAACATAACTCTTGATAAAGTATACTTTATGTATTAGACAACATCAATATTCAATGAACAAAACAACACCCAGCGTTTTTTTTTTGGGGGGGGGGTTGTATTTATTTTATCGCTGTACTTGTCTACACCTTTGCATAGTATAACAAGTTATACGTGCTATAAAATATATAGTTTTTCCCTTTTTTATATACAGTTATCTTAATCTGGTTTCAGTTAATGACAATTTTATTAGTTTAGAGAATTTCCTGTTGTTGTTTTATTCATCTTGACATTGTTGCTAACGGTAAAATAAGACACTATGCTCTTCTCATTGTTGATATTCCTCGCGATTAGGACGTTCTTTTCCGGTATAAACTGAGCTGAATTAAAGAACTTTTATCTTATACCTGTCAATGTGTTCTGAGTTGGTAGATCAAAAAGTTGTACCCAGTTATTAAATATGAAGACGTATGTTTTAAATTGTTTTTTGTTATCATTTAAACAGAATGTATATTGTTTTGATTTCATAATCCATATATTTTAACTTGTTGCAGAAAAGACTGTATTGTTACGTCTCCGTTTGTTAATTGATTTCCCGTAACTTCGTTCCGACGAAACTTAAGCGACACAAGTTCTTTCTTAATAAAAACTGGTTTATTCTTTCTGAATATAACTCTGCGATACACTTAATCTCAATACTCGCGCTAAAACAACACTATAACGAACGAACGTTAACTTCAACAATACCCTGTGACTGCAGTTCAATTACTCACTGTCTACACACACATTACATTACCTTCGTCACGTTGTCCCCGACTACCCTATCTAGTAAATACTAGAGCATTCCTGAAAGAACAAGATAGTTCTAGAAACGTGGCGTCACTGTAGTCACGTGACTCGCTGACGCAACAGTATTATAACAATCTTGCTGTACAAGTATTCTTCCTCGGGAGGGCTTGTGACATTTTGTATATTTAGTTTTCCTACCACCTCTGTTGTTGTTCATTTGTTTCACAGTTTATATTAATACAGAAAAGTGGATGTTTTTAATGAGGTTACGTTCTGTTTTATGCTGAAAATCCTGTTTCCACCCATGCATTATATTATTCTTCTCAGAAAAATCTTCGGAGAAAGCTTGATCTTGAAAAATAATCAGTTTCATTCGAACATTGACGATCTTTCTTGCGTTGTAATTTATGTATTTTTTTTTCCAGTAAGTAAAGAAGGTAGCATGTTCCAGTTGACAAAGATCACAAGTCCTCGTGGGACAGCGGTATATCTATGGACTTACAAAGCTAAAATCCGGGGTTCGATTCCCCCGCGATGGACACAGCAGATAGCTCAATGTGGCTTGCTCTAAAACCAAACAGACACGGATCACAAAAAGTAGTGTTTTGGAGCTGAAGTACTTCCTTAGCGACATAATTTCCCAGATATTGGCTATAAAAGGGCATAAGACCAAGTAAAATTAAGTTAAAAACATGAGCATGTGAG